AATCTCTGTTTTAAATTATATAAATCATTCAAAGTATTAGATTTAATATATAATCATAAAATTATTAACTTTTATGAATATTTACAGAGAATTAGACTTCCATGATAAAGTTAAATAACTCGAAAGAAAAAAAAATTCTTAATCATTAAAATTATTCTCGATTTCATTAAAAAAATTATTTGACATTTGTAAGAGAAAGAGAATTACTTTTTTTATAAAAAAATTCTACAAATTATCTCAAATGACCTCTCACACAAATTAATAACTCGTATATTCGAGGCTAATAACAAAACTTATCGACTGTGTCATTCGCGAAAATGATATCGCAATAAGCTTATTCAGGCTAATGGCGCCGCCTTAAAAACAGATAATCGCGTAGGGAATTAGCATCGATTAATAAGTCAGTCAGTATGAGTGTCTGCACACATGTGATGATACCGAACACTTTCAAGTCGTCCTCGGGCGCCTACGGCGTCCGTCGTCGTCGTCAGCAGCCGTCGAGCACGTGGGCCGGTAGAAATAGCTCCGACATATACTACAAAGGATCGTCCACTTGTGTATGCGTGTGTGTATGTATATATGATGGTCACATTGTCGCGCGAAATACAGAGAAGGACAAGACCGGAGAAACGAGACGAAAGAGAGGCAAAACGAGAGAGGCAAACCGCGAGAATTGGCAATGAGAGGGGGATAGGGGAGAGTGTAATAGCTGTATCTCGTGCACGTGAACGCGTCTGACGTGCTCGTGACGTGCATGAATACGATTGCCGTGCACACACTAGCACGCACCGCGTGCGATGCGTCAGCTGCTGATGTATATATGTATATACGTATAGATGTGAACGATATTCAGAGTTCAACTAAATAAGCCTCTATGTGAAAATATGTGAATATATTATATAATAATTTTATCAAGGATAATTATAGAAATTATTATAATGTAGAATAGCAAGTATATTTATCTTATTTAGAAACGACGATTACGAGTTTGATTAGCATCTGTTAAAAAAAAAAATATATATATATATATGTATATTTAGTCAATGCTGCTTATAATTAATATTTTTTAAATTATTGATGTTTGATCTGTTATCAAATTTTTATTAGTTTTATATTATTCAGATAGACTAACACATGCACATATATATATAGCTAATTAAAGCTGCTTGTATTAATAAAATAAGACGCATCATACACATTTAATATCGAGAAACAAGACATGTATTTTGTGCATCCCTAGCAATGCAAACAAGCAGCAAAGCATGCATCTTGCATGCCGCGCTGCACATCGGCATGACGATTACGCGAGCAGCGAAGAGCTTGCAGAATACAAAGAAAGAGAATCTCATACAGGTGACATTCCAAACAAATATAATTACTGAATATAATTTTCGGTATTATATTACGGTATTATATGCGGCATATATTAATATATTATATTAAATTGCTAAATAATTATCGTACGTTCTAAAAATATTCATGAAACATTTGACAAAAATTAAATTATTTTTCGTCATTTCAATAAATAGTAATATTAATGGACGATATATGCATCATAGTGAAAATATTCTTAATGATTAAGTTAATAATGTAACAACATACAGTATATTTTGATTTAACGATCCAAGATAAGGAGACTTAAATAAACTTTCCAGACGTCAAAAAGTCGTTAATAGTTAGATTGACGATAAAAGCCCATTAAGAAAAAGAAACTTCTATATCGCAAGCAATTGGAGGTTTCGCGTAATCGACACAACGATATGATATATGTCGCAGTTCATCACATAGGAAGAATACAATCTGTCCGATAAAGGTCTATCTCTCGGAAATATACCCGTAGAAACACAGTAGAAACACTTAAGACTCTTGAATCTCTCATTGCAGTCGTATCGAATTATGACGTCAGAAGCGAGAAATTATATAAAATTTTTTTCTTGCATTATATGTCAAAGTAGATTAATTTTTTTGTCACCACTGTTCGAAAATATGTGAATAATATAAAGTATCGAATACTCTCTTTTGGATCGTGGATTAATAAATAATTGAATATTATTAACAATTATCACAAACTGGACAAAAATAATGATATATAAAAAAAAAACAATTTATATTTCAATGTATAATAGAAGACAAAAAAATGTACGCGTTTTTTTTCGCTCTTTTGACATCACAGTTCAATATGGCTATTCTGATTGACAAGGCGTTTTAAAATTCAGCAGCTCGATCGCTTACAAAGAAGTGAAGTAATATATTATATATATACATATATAGTAGTTATATATAATATATATGAGTATATAGCACATATAATCACTAAAATATAGTTTTATATTAAAATATATATAAATACAAATCTTTTTCGTGCTAGATAAAACGAAATTATTCGTTAACAAAGAAAAAAAAATTGCAACAAAATTAGATATATTTGTTAAGTAAAATAATGATATTTATATAAAAGAGAGAAAGATAAAAGGAGTAAAAATAGTGATCCGTCACCAAAAAGGAAGAAAAGAATTTTTGTCTTCAAAAAGATTGAACTTTGATCTGCTCAAAATATCGCAACGGATTTAAACTTCATTATCGTTGTCGTTGGCGATTTATAGTCACCCAATTGCCCTTTCGTTGCAATTTTCGAAATAAATTCGATACGCATAGTAATTCAATAAGCTGTCGTAATCAAACAAAAGCGATAAATAACTGATATTACATACAGAGTACTTAAGAACCCTACGCTTTCTTTTGATTTCTTGAATGATTTTTTCCTAGAAAAATTTTACTGTATTTTAATTTTATCAACAATCAAGAATCTCAGCTCTTTAATCTTTCTTAAGATTAAAATTGATTATGTGAAAATTGAATTTATTGAGAATTTAATAAAACATAAAATTTTATCTCTACATATATTTGTGAAATTCCCCAAAATTTGTAATTCTTCCTTTTTATCAAAATAAACGCTAATTAATTTTTTTTGTAAAAAAGAAAAAAGTTTCAAATTTATCAAAAAATTCATAAATAGGGCAATATGCCGGGAACTTTGGAACATTGTATGCACTGAATGTATAGTGCATTGTACGTTGTACATTATTGCGATAACGATTAAATGTACGAGTTATTCGGTGGCCTTGGCGCGTATCATGAGAAAAACGCGCTCGAGAGTTTTCGAATGTTGCTTGAATACGCGCGTCTCTATTTAAATAACCCACTGTAATTTCCTCGTAATTGAAACGGAAAGATCTCGTTCTCACAAGCAGATTACGCGTACGGGCACCACGTGGTAAAGCGTAACGTCACGCACATGTCTATCATTGCACTTCAATCCGTATTGCGGTCGTTTTCGCCATGTGTCATCACCTCACGACGACGAAGTGTCACTGTTTCTTATCATCGTGTGCTTTTTCGCGGTCTATTAAGTTGTCTAGTAGATGACGTAGGCTAGCTTAAACCTTCCGTGATAAGGTAATCGATGTGGTGATATCATCGGATACACTTTTTCGTGAACGCAGTACCTTTCTTTCGTTAATCATAATCGCTTTTAATCCGTTTCATATTCATACTAATAATTATTACAGCTTTACTATTTATAACTGTTTACACGTTGTTCGTTAAAAAGTAGCAACTTATCAAATTTCTCGGAATATTCTAATAAAACTGTATCATTTTCTAAATCATTGCGTAAGCATCCGAGTATAAATAAAAAATGACGAATTTAAATACTTTATCTTTGTCAAATAAATTTGTTTGTTTTTTTTTTTTTTTTGTTGATTATCGTTAAAATACGCGACATAGAATTTCCGTCTTCTTGTACTGTACTGTAAAGCATAATTTATAATCTTACAAAATTATGAACATTTCCATAATTTTGCGGGTATAGATGATAATCATTAATGATTAATAATATCCGTCCTTTAGACGTATCATATAATTGCAGTTCTACGATTCCCATTATAGTGTAAACTTTGATATTCTACGTATCAGCGGTTTTATTTTTTTCACACGGAGGGATAATATAAAATATATAAACCTTACTACTATATAAACTCTTGCGGGGTGAATATATTACTACGTAATGAAGGGTTCTGGATCCTCGGCTCAAATTAAAATGGCAAAGTCTTGAATATATGTTCTCGAAACCTGATCGGACAAGTATTTACCGGACACTAACGAGTGAACGTTAAAGCTCAGCCGTGCAGATGTACACGAAACTCTGGCGTGTTTATTTTTCGAATTTATTTTTCAAATGTTTATACTTTTCGCACAAAGAAATAAATCGACAACTCTGCTGTGTTTTAATGCAAAAATACATTGTATGTATTAAAAGCATATATAGATAACCGTTGCTTTTCAAGATGCATTTTTCAATATCGTGATTAGCCTTTCATAATCTCGATCGACGCATGCCTCGTGGAGGGAAATGCCAAAGAGCGCAAACATGTCGCGCACAGCCGGATCGAACACGTGGTCTGCCGATAACGCTCTTTGCCGTTTTGACGAAACGCCGCGTTCGCGCGCGCGAGTAGGTCTCGTCTCGAATTACACTGTCTCCCGCAACGTGAGAATTACAAAACGATCGGACGGACGGAATTTCTACGCTCTTCTGGAATCACGTTTGTGAACGCATATTTATTTATGAGCAGATAGAAAACTTTTTTTTTTTTTTTTTTTTTTATTTGCCAGGAATTCGCGCGAGAACAACGACGTGTCATTCGATCGCGCACAGTTGAACAACACGAAAAACGTGGAGGTTATTTCTATTCTCGTTTAATCGCCACGGCTATTCTTAAATACAAATTGATGTCAACGACGATATATTTTCGAGCGAGGCTACGAAAGAAAAAGCAGACGAAAAACCAAGCACGAGAGAATATAGACGAGAACGCCGATAGAGGCATGTCGAAATTCCTCGTTCCGTCCGTGATTCTCGCGAATCTTCTTTCTGGCAACGCATCAATGAAGGCTCGTGAAATGGCACGCGTCCGCGTGGCCGTACAACGCATACGTACCTCTTCTTTTTCGCGCGGGTCGCTCCTCCTCGTCGAGGCCGGGTTGCTCCCACACTAGCACGTGGCCATTTCGTCCCCCGTTTTCGCTGATTCTGCCACCGCTCATCTCGGAGACGCGAAAGGAACTTGAACGCAAAGAGGGAAAACGCGATATCGCTGAACAATATCGTCCAACAGACGACGGCGTTTGACGCGATAACACTGACTGTTCACACGCGCGCGAGAACTACTGGTTCTTCCAACACTCTCGCGCGAACACTCGGGTCGAAAAGCGCCGAGGAACGAAAGAGCGCGCCTGCGTTCTTTTTTTATACCGGTCGGTCGGCGACGACGACGACGGCGACGACGACGTCGAGGAAGGTAACGGCGGGCGACATTCGCGGGCGTGACACGGTGGCAAAAGTAAACGCGTTACGATAAGGTTAAGTCCTCGCGTGATACAAAATGATACTGATTCTCTGAAAGGAACCGGGACCGGCCGGTTGCTCGCTAGCTACTGCGACGATAACGACGGTCGTGGACGAGCGATTGGACTCGTGGCAGGCCGGCTGTGTCAGCTGTTCCGCCAATCGGAGCGCAGCGCGGTAAAAGTCACGACCGCCGGCGCGAAATTTAATTTACATCTGCGGATCTCGCAAATGATGATAAAATTCTTTTAAAATGTATACAATGTGTGCACGATTTCACATTCTTTATTATGCTAATAAAATAAGTTGTACTCCTGTGAATTAAAAAGTGAAATTACATTCTATTTAGTAGCAAAGCTTATACATATTTGAACAGTTTTTAAAATCCACTTGTCAATTAGAGAACATTTATGGTAATTTTTAGCAGCAATTCTTGCTATAGCGAAACCTCAGGAAAAATCAAATAAAGAGCTAAATGCTATAAAAAGAAAAGAGGAATTTTATCATGTATAACTATAGGTTTTTTTTTTTTAGGAATTGTTCTATATATTGAAGATTGAATAAAGTTTAATCAAGTTTAACTGATGATGCATCTCTTTTTAATTTCGTTCTGAAGAGAAAAAAAAAAGAGAATACTCGGTTAAATCTCAATTATTTTTAATCAATGTTTCAAAGAGAAGAAGCTTTCATTTTCAATAATTTTATTAATTTTTTCGAGAGTTCTGTTTTCACAAATACTATAAATAGATGACTCGTTGGTTTTTAGCAGGTAATTGAAAATAAGATTGACTTAACAATTGTTTGTACTAACAAAGATAATATATGAGCTGCAAGTTATCGCGAGCAACGAACACCTATCGGGCTTCATTCCAACAAAGGCATCTGCGTATTGTGAAACCATATGATTCACTTTTGACCTACGGGCTTGAAAATTAAATAGATTATTACCGCGTTAGATATATCGCGTATTCACTGTTCATTCATCGCACGTCGTTCATCAATCAAAACGATTTAAAATCCCGAGAAAAATATGTGCCTGGAATCGAGACACGCATCCTCAAAACACTACATATTCTCATCCAGCGAGAAATATCAACATAGTAGAAGAAATACTCTTTTAACATGTGTCATCGAATCTCTCAATCAATAAAAAAATATTTCTGGGCATATTTTCCGCGTAAATAAGAAAAATCCACAGAAAAAATTGAATATTCATTTTACATTTTTTCTACAACTTGCAAATTTTTTCCTGTTTATCAATATTTTTCTAAAGAAAAACTGTGCGCAATGATATCAAATTGAAGGTTTGTAAACTGTGTAGAAGAAAGTTATAATTGAAATTAATTTAAATTAAAATCGTTTCCTGTATAAGATTATATCTCCGATTACATCAGATATCGTAAGAGCAAAAAAACTGAGTCATTGCGAAAGTAACATCACAGTGTTCCGCATGCTTAATTAAAATCTCTTGGAATCTTCTTCGTTTCGTTCGTCTCATGAAGCAGGTCAAAATAAATTATTTATGAGAATAAAAAGATGTTTATATGGAAGATAATTTTATTGAATAAAGAAAAATTATTAGATTGATAAATAATTATATACAAATAATCAGAATAGATATTGTATATTATGTCATTATGAATCATAATTTGTCTCTGTAATTATTATAATATAACATTCTAATTTTTACCCTTTTTACCATCCTTTCTTTTCAACTACATCAAAAATTTCATAATAAAACAGTAGAATTTTACTTTGATTACTATTGCAAATAATTTCGTTTCTTAACGATTGAAGAAAATATAGTTTATATTACACACATTCCGTTTAACATCTTGTATGTAACAGGAAAATGTAGCTAATCGCAATTAAAGCATTAATTGCAATTCAATTAACTCTTCTATCTCATGTAATTTATTTTCGATTCACAAGCTTGCCGTTAAATGCAAATTGGAAAAGGCATCGATCAGATCGGTTTGGACGAAATAACCACATAAAGTGGCGTAGAATTTTTGGCACGTTAAAAACTGATCAGTTATTAATAACTCACCGCGCGACTTTATTCCTGGCTATCGTTTCGCGAAACGTTCGAAACAAACCGCATTTACACGATACTTTTCCAGCGTTGGGGTTATATACATGATGAGATGCAATCGCGCTTTGATCACATCGAAGAAGTACCGCTGATGATCAATGATCATCTTAATATGTCGACGATGCGTGATTGGTGGACGTCTTCTATTTGCGTTTGGTAAAGTGCACTTTATCTCAAGGTTTATCTACGATTACAAAATCCTTCATCATGTTTTAACGATTGGCGATGTAATTGGAAACATTTCCGTTTATAAATGCCCAGTTTCCGATAAAAATAACGAGATGATATCTACGTTTATCTCGCGCGATATTAAAATGCCAATATTGAAATTAATATCAATCCTAAAGCAGATGTCAATCATTCGTATACATATCATTCGATAACATAAATTGCGTAGCGCGCTTTTAAATTCTCAGAAAGTTAAAAGCTTATAGAAAAATGTGTTGCAAAACTCGCTCATGAAAATATTCTTAAAGTAAAAATCTTCGATATAGCACTATAATCATTGCGAAAAATAATAACAAATAATATGAAAAATATAACAATTTTCCGAATATTTTTTCGATAATATATCAAAAGTATCGCCGAGCCAAATTAATTAATCGAAGCTATCGATGTTCTCGCAACTGCGGGAACCCCCCACTGATTTGCGGCGGATATCAAAGTGTCAAGATAAGAGATACGGGGGATTTTCCATGCTGAAAATTGCAAGAATGCAATGAGTAAATATTTGTTGACTTCTGGATATACGCGTTCCATCCACATATATCATCGCAAAGAGTATATCGTCGAGAATGCAACAAGAAGCTTGATTTAAAGCTTGTCGCTGTGTGCGAATCATGGTTGTCGCGTCTCGTGGACTGGTTGTCTATAATTGATTTGATTGCTACATGTGTGTAGCAGGATGTTGCTATTCAAAGCGACTAGTATAGGAATGTACGATTCGTACAAATCAGAGAAGAAGGAAGTCGCCGGAATGGAAGACGCAACGCACAGCCGTGATTCTTTCTTTCCCTCTCTCTCTCTCTCTCTCTCTCTCTTTATCTCTAATCAGTGTTAAGTAATTAAGGTTAAGCCATCAAACATTAATTATCTATTATCTGGTTCATCCATAATTATCTCTCTCTTGCTTTTGAGGGCAACTGCGTGTTCAATATCTCGTGCAGAATATCTCTCGGTATTACTCTCGTCATTATCACAAACCATAAACTACAGACTAAATCAAGAAGACTGTTATTTGTCTCAAGGTTATTGAAGCATTAACAGTATTATTACAAAAGTTAATGTAAAATCTCGTGCGTGCTTTATATCAAATTCTCCTTTAAACTATGTAAAATATTTTATTTTTTTAAATTTCTAAATTTAAAACTACACGCATTTAATCTAAAATAAAATTTTAACAACATTTCAATTTGCTATAATTGAGATATTTAATATAAGATATGAAAAATTGACATTTAGTGCAAGCAATCCGTAATTGAATGAAATATTGATCTATGGCACCGTACATTTTTATTTGGAAAGATATAAATGTATTACGTCAATTTAAGATTGAATCTATCGATTTATAAATGTTTCAAGCATTAAAGAAACTGATTAAATAGAAAAACCGCGCGAAAAATAATTCATCAGTTTTATATCAGATAACCGAGCCTTATCGACTCTTTTTATAGTGCTACCTTTTATCAGCGATATGTCTAATTATCTTTATAATCCACCGAGAAACGTTTACATTCTCGAGCGAGCAATTACATTTCCGGCCATTCAAAGACCGTGGACCGCACAGTTTTATGTACATATATACGTCTCTTTATAAGAGCGAGTATCATAAATTCTGAAAAAGGACGACAAAGATATTTCCAATCCGCGGTAATTTTGGCGAAGATCACGATGGTTTGAGAAACGTAGCCAAATATTTTATGACGCTTTTACCTTTAAACGATTGCACAAAGCGTAATATCGAATGATCTTGGAGCGTGTACTTGATTGTGCAATCGATGACTCGTTCGTGACGTAGTATATTTTCTTTCGTTCGTGAATCGTATAACGACGCGTATCGTCCAATTTCACGTGGCGTGAATCGCAATTTCGCGAGTACAATATGTACAATATGAGCAATTATCGAGATATGACTAATAAACTTGATTAACACAAAATGAGCGCGTGACACAGTTCAATAATTGATATAAATAATTTACAAAATTTGCAAAAAAAGTTATCTATCTCTCTCGGACTAATTTGATTTTTATCTTGATAGTTTTCAAATTTAAATTGTATATTGGCGTGCATAGTATAATTAATATATCGCAAATATCGTATGTTGCAAAATTTTACTGACAATAATAAAATTAATCAATCATATATAATTAAATTAATTTATTATCATGTGTATTGAGGCATTTTAACAGATGTTGATCCATCTGTTAAAATGCCTGTAAAGATATTATCTTCGTGATGAATTAATATTATCATTGCACTTTTTTGTGACACATTGTTCAATATGGATAATTATATATATATATATATGTTTGGTTTGATTACATAATTTAATTTATATAATAAATTAATACTCTGAAGGTAGATAACATAGATACTCTGTTTAAACGGCTAGATTACACTTTGCGTCGATAAAAAGGATAGATTATCTACTACAGATAACTAAACATGCTTTCAACTAAATTACTTATCATACAAGTTAACTTCTTCTCGGCAGTAAAATAGAAATCTGCAATAAAAGTTTCTCTAAAGATAAATTTGTGATTGACAGAAAGAAAGTATAAAATGTTTTTATCTCATATTATATACATCAAAATTACATATTAAGTTTGCATAAACAAATATGTATAAAAATTATCAGATATAAATTGCACATGTCTTTAAAAAATAATTACTAAATAATTTTTATTTAATAATTATTATTGTCTTTTGTAGATATTGTTTTTTCATAATAAAATAATTGTTATACGATATAATAAGCATTATTTAATTTCTTTTCTAACTTAATTCTCTTCTAATGTTTTAGTATGTTTCTGGTATCGATACTTTCAATTTTGAATACAAAGTATTCACGTGGAATAATTCCACTTTAACATATAAATCTGTTCACAGAGAGAACATGATATTTCCTGTCTGAGGAAGAGTACTGAAAATGTAGAAGTAGGATGTCGACAATTTTCTGATTGCTCGCTCTTACGGGAATGTGTGACACGTGGATGGTTATAAATGCGGTCTTTACATCATTTAAACCCGGACGAGTCTAACACCATACTCAGCCTTAAATGCCTCAAGTTTCGAGCCGTCAACAGGAAACGTGAAAGCCCTCAAACTCGTTATCCACTATAGTT